ACATTCTTGTTTTCTTAAGAGATCACTTATCTACACACAGAGAAGCATTCTGTTGTGTGGCTACTTCCTATACTCCCAAATCATATAAACTCCTCTTCAAATATATGTAATGTGTTACATAGGAGGTTAGATAAAAGAGTATAAAGCTAGTGGAAATCTAGTATAATTACATTTCTTTAGTCATTCAGGGCATGGTCTTTAATCAAACACACTGAACTGAAATGTTGGATCAGCCAAGTACTCACTCCATGACCTTGGGCAAGTGAATAACATACTGTAAGCTTAGTAACCTCATTTGTGTATTTTACAGATAACAAAAGTACCTATTATGTATGTTTATGTAGTAATGCATGCAAAATTCTTATCACAGAGTTTAGCTTATTGTAAGCATTCAATCTTCATTAGCTATTATTATGTGCCTTACTAAATTGGTACAATAACAATTTTAACTTTTTACTAATGACCTCAGTTATATTGCAAAATAAAATTCAAACATGTAAAGTATATTGTACGTTATTGTAGATTAATGTAAAGATAAGTGATAATATATTCTCAAGATCATGCAATGTTATTCATGACTGATTAGGGAATAATAACTAATTCTCTGATATGATCCAAAGTTCTTCTAACAGCTTACAATAAGTAAATAGATTTATTTTTTAAAGACACATAAATGTATGTACTGTATTCATTTTGTTTCATGTGTTTTACTGGAAGTGAAATATCTGTCATTTTTTGATATCAGAATTAACATGATTTCAAAATATTGGCCACAACTAGCACCATAAGAGAAAATAATGAACATATGAAGGAAGTTTTGTGAAAATTCTAAAATCATTTGGAGACAATACTATATTAGTGAGTGATTTTGGGCTAATAAACATCCCTTGGCATTTATCGAAATAAGTGCTAAAAGTCAACCTGCATATACCTAAACAAAGTGAATTAATAGTTTGAGAAATTTTATCTGTCAATCAACAGAACCTAGCCAACAGAATTCCAACAGGGGCAGATTCCACTATCCTTCCTCAGTAAAGGAGAAGGGTTATTGTCTCTTTTCCAAGTTATTTTATTTTGCTAAATTATATTTGTTTTTTTAGATATTTATTATCCTTTAAAATTTCCCCCTGGACATTCTAAGGATTTTCTAGCAATGAGTCCTAAAACTATGTTCTGTACCAAGATGTACTTTACAAATTTAGCAGCGCGCTACAAAATGTTTGCTGTGTTTAAATGAGCAAATGCTTCCCTAAATGTGGTATTGTCAGTTATTCTTGATCAACCTTTCATAGTTACTGAAATTCAGATATACTTACCTGGGGGCTATAGATTTTGTCATACAAGAATTTTTGTAGAACCTTTATTTAGAAAATGTTGGCATTTGTTTCAGTTATATTTTCTGGTAGTGCCCATTCTTCCTCCACAACATCCTTTTAGTATTAAATTATCATTTATATCATTAAATTGTGAAATAAAATAATGAATTATGTAAGATATTCTTTAGTACTTAATGTATTTCAAATACTGTGTTAGCCAAGTGGGGCCTAAATCATAACATGGATAAAGGAGACTCTTCCTTTAAGGGTCAAGGCTTACACAGTGCAGTGGTGGAGACAGAGAGATAAACAATGTCCAGAATTAGCATCATGAGAAGTAAGCCAAGGTGGCGGCGGAAAGTGCCATGAAAAAAGAGAGACAGGGCTGCATTTAATTTTGATTATTAGTCCAACCCCCAAACTCAGGGCATAGGCTGGCCTAGTAATAAGTAATAGCTTCTTAAGTGTCTATCAGAGGACAATAGGCAGAATCCTACGGGGAAGGAAATCCATGTTCCTGAGGATTTGCTGTATTTCTATTCTTCAAATCTAGCAAGCTCATTCTTTTCTTAGGTCTCCAACTAGCATTGTTGCCTCTACTAGGAATCGTCTTTCATAAAGCTTCATCATGGTCAACTCCTTATTTCTAATTAGGTCTCAGATCAGATGTCTCCTCTTCAGATAGGCTTTCCCAATCTCTTTTGAGTCACCACTTTTTTTCCTTTACACCGTTTCACAGTCTTGATCCTATATTGTTTTTCTTACTGCTTGTCTTTCTGCCCACTCTTGCTTGCCCCCTCACTATTATGCAAATGCCATAGAGATTAGCATCTTGCCTCATTCCCTGCTCTGTTCCCAGCACTGAGGAACAGTACTAAACGATGATTAGTTACTGGATCACTATGTGTGTAATGAATGAATTCATAAATGACAATGAGCAAATAAGAGCGTTAGGGACCAAGTTAGAAGGTCTGTATGTTAGGACAGTCTGTCATCCACTAAAGGGAGTGTAGAAGACCTGATACATCAGGGCCTTGCAATGAGACTGACTAATGATGAGCTGCCATGTAGAATTTTTTATTTCTTCCTTTTGGGATTTTTAGAGTGTGACAAGGGCCTGAACCTGTAGGTAAGTGTTAAATGAATCTTTAAAAAAGACAAAAGCTGAGGGATGGAAAAATTACTGCATCATTTTACCTACCCCTTACATAAAAGTAAAAATCTTTAGGCAAAAGCTTCAGTACATCTGAGTTACTTATAAATGAGCTTCCCAAAAGCAGTGCGCTCATAACTGACCTATTAGACAGAAGTAACTGGTTGTTTCAATTAACTGGCTCACTGCCTTTGTTTTGTACCTCAACACAAATACTGTATTTTACCACAAACATATTTTTAAAGTAGTAAATGCTAGAGAATAAAAGACATAAACATGATCTCCTCTTGATTCTTCACACAGATTAAGGTCTTGGGTCCTTGCAATGTCACCTAGTTTAAGAGTGGTTGCTTTCCCCAAAGTGTATTCTAGATAAATTAAGGAACCAAGTGTAAAACTGATAAAAACAAGACAATTTAAAAAAATATGAAAGGTTAAAAATATCACCTTAAAATGAGAAATGCTTTTCAAACAAGTCACAAAACCTAAAAGCCACAAAGAGGTATTCCGATTAGACAGCATACAAATTAAAATCTTTAGTGCAATAAAGACACAGCATGCAATGTTAAAAGACCAGTAGCAGACAAACAGAAACTATATGCAATGCATTTAACTGAAAAAGGTTTCTCTACAGAGTATACCCAGACTATAAAAAGACAAGTAGATCAGCTGAAAAATGTGAAAGGCTGTCATCAATCATTCTCAAAAGGAATATGGGAGACTTCTGGTCAAGATGGAGGTGAAGGTAGACATGCTTTGCCTCCTCACACAGCCACAGAGAGAATTATAACTAAACCTCAAAACAAATAACACTCAGAGCCGTCAGAAGCCTGAACTGTATGGAAGTCCAACAACCAAGGATTTAAAGAAGCCACATTCATCCGGAGGGGTAGGAGGGGTAGAGTTGCGGAGATGGGTAGAGGGGCAAAGATACACAGTGTGGCACAAGAGGCGGTGGCAGCAGTGGAACAGGTGGTCCCACGACATGTGGTGGATAAAAATTGGGAGGGATACCTTGTGAATAAGCAATCCCAGCCCCAGGCCAGGCCCCACAGACCAAGGTTCCAGTGCCAGAAAGATAAATTCCCATGACTTTTGGATATAAAATCCAATGGGGTGTTGGGGTGGTGGAAGAAACTGTTGGATTTTTAGGAAACTCCACTTAAAGGGCCCACATTGTCTTAGGAACTATGCAAACCCACCCACTCTGACATTCACCACCAGGGAGACAGCTGGAAGGGTACCAGTTAAATACAGGGAGTGGATGAAGTGGTTGTAAATGGGGTGAGTGCAAGGCACACCTCCAGAAGCCAGGCAGCAGCACTGTCCCCTCTCCGATCCCTCCCTGCAGACAGAGCTACAATTAATGAAGGATGTTGCCCCACCCCGCTGATTATGTAAGATTCTGTCCCCCACAATTTACAAGTGCCTTTTCTACAATAGGCCACACTACTAAGACTGGGAATCAAAACAGCTCTCCCTAATACATAGAAGCCAGTATAGGAGGCTGCCAAATTTAAGACAAAGAAATATGGCCCAAATGAGAGGACAGAGCAAAAACCCAGAAAAAGAACTAAAACAGAGAGAACCAACCTATCAGATGCGGGATTCAAAATCCTGGTGATCAGGATACTCAAAGAACTCATTGAGTATGGCAACAACATAGAGGAAGAAATGAAGGCTACACTAAATGAGATAAAGAAAATTCTGCAAGGAGACAACAGTGAAGGGGAGGAAGCCAGGATGCAAATCAATGGTTTGGAACATAAGGAAGAAATAAGCATTCAACTAGAACACCAAGAAGAAACAAGAATTTTAAAAGTCAAGGATAGATTAAGAAGCCTTTGGGACATCTCCAAATGTACCAACATCTGATGCCAGATGAATAGGGATGCCAGAGTAAGAAGAGGAAGAGCAAGAAACTGAAAATATTTGAAAAAATAATGAAAGAGAACTTCCCTAATTTGGTGAAAGGGAATAGCCATACAAGTCCAGGAGGCAGAGTCCCAAACAAGTTGGCCCAAAAGAAGGCCAAACCAAGACATACCATAATTAAAATGCCAAAGGTTAAAGACAGAGAATCTTCAAGGAACATGTATAAAGGACCCATGGACAAAGTCAAAGTCGGGAAGGATTGAGGGAGGGAGGTGGGGGAGAGGGGCAGGGGAAAGTGATGGTGGGAAGGTAGAGACAAATATATTTGAAAAATATAATTAAAAAAATAGATAGAGATCTTAAAAGCAGCAAGAGAAAAGCAGAGAGTTACATACAAAGTCCCATAAGACCATCAGCTGATTCTCAAAAGAAATTTTGCAAGCAAGAAATATTCAAAGTGATGAAAAGCAAAGACCTACAACCTAGATTACTCTATTCAGCAAAGCTATTATTTAGAATGGAAAGGCAGATAAAGTGCTTTCCAGACAAGGTAAAGCTAAAGGAGTTCATCATCACCAAGCTATTATTACATGAAATGTTAAAGGGGTTTATTTAAGAAATAAACCTGGTCCTGGGCCAGGTGGTTTTGTTTTTTGTTTTTTTTCATTTTGGAAAATATTTATGAATAAATAGTTTTATATGACGGCTGGCGGCAGCAGACTCTCCTGTACCCCTCAGGAGTCAGTGAGCGAGAGGGGGGTCCTGCCAGCGGGGTCGCCGAGCTAGCTGGGGGTTGAACTGAGAGTTGTACCCCCTCCGCCGATCTTCTGCCTCTTCTTCTGGCTGCTGCTCCTGGGGTGCCCCGCCCCGGACCCGAGCCAGGAGGGCCTCTGCCCGTGCCCTCTCAGCGGCTTCCCTCCGAAGACGTTCAGCTCGAAGCTGGTCCAGGGACGGAGATTCTTGGGGCCGCTGTTTCTCGGACCCCGCCTTTTCCTTTTTGCTGTGGCCGCCGTTGTCACCACTGTGCCGCCTCTTCTTCCCCAAATGCTTCTGCATCTCCAGCAGAGGGTCCAGAAGGTTCTTGACCTTCACATCTGGTCCTGGGCCAGGTGGTTTTTTTTTTTTTCTCTGCAGAACTATGTGCCCCAGCAAGAGGCGGCCGTGGCCGTCCGTGGGCACTGGCTTGGCCTCAGGCACGGCACCCCCGCAAGGCAAGCTGTCCATAATGGGCACCTGCAGCGGTCCTCGCCCTGACCACGGGTGACTAAGCTGCATTTTCCAAATGAAACACTCACCAGGAAAGGAGTGTCCCCAGCTTCACCCCACCTCTTTAGCTGGGACCCAAAATAAAAAAACACTTGAGTCAAACCAGCTCATTGCCAACACAGCTGGGAGCAGGGGACAAGGGGACTGAGGGGCAAGTTTTGTGTCTCCACTAAAGAAAGCCCTTTTCCCTAAAGAAGAAACAAGTGTTGGCACTTTAGAAAATCAAAACTATGAACATTAAAATGGCAACAAATTTACAACTATCAACTGAATTTAAAAGAACAAACTAAGCAAACAACCAGAACAGGGACAGAATCATAGATATGGAGATCATTTGGGGGTATATCAGCTGGGAGAAGGAAGGGGAAGAATGGAGGAAAAGGGATTAAGAAGCATAATTTGTAGGTATGAAATGGATGGGGTATATTAAGAATAGTATAAGAAATGGAGAAACCAAAAAACTTATATACCTGACCCATGGACATGAACTAAGGCGGGGCATTGCTGGAGGGAATGAGGGTCCTGGGCAGAGGGGGACAAAGGGAAAAAACTGGGACAGCTGTAATAGCATAGTCAATAAAATATATTTTTTAAGAAAGGAACATTATGGCTAATATGCACATAAAAATACTGAATCTTAGTAACATTGGAGAATAAAAGTAAAATGATTCCTAAGATTTTACCCATCTGCATGTTTTTCAGAGTTTGAAAGTGTCAAGTTTTTTTGAGAATACATAAACAGGGACACAATCACGCTGTTAGATTAAAAATTAATGAAGCTATTTTGGAATATAATTTGCAGTATATATATGTAAAAGATAGATCACATAAGGTTAATCCCGCAATGAATATTCACACATTAACAAAAACATGTTAAATGATATCTACTCCACTGCTGCATGTGTTAGGGGAAAAAAAGAAATATAATTGAACTTTCAACAATATCCAAGTGATAAAATTATGTATTAGTATATCCAAACTGTGGAATGTTTCACATCTGGTAAAGACTAAGAACAACCTGAACTGACCAACATAGAAAGATAAGTAAGTCATATTACATGGAAGGCATAGTATGCATACAGTGATTTTATTTTATTTTGTTTTGCTTTATTTATTTTATTTTGCCCATTTACCATCTTTAAGTTGGTTTGCTTACCTAATTAACTCAACGTTAAGATTTTGTTGGTGAGACACTCAGGATTGTAGTAACTGAGTTAGTCGAACATGAAAGATTTTTCAGGATAAGAGATAAAAGAAAGTCTGATCTGTTGAACTCACATTTCTGTAAAGCAGATTAGCTCATTCCTGATTGGTAATCAGTCAATGACATGAATATAGTGAGGATGTCACATTAATTCACATGTGATTTTTTTCCCCAACACAGTACAGTTTAGCATCACTAAGTAACAGCATCAAAATGGAAAGTTTATCAACACAGATGAATGTCTGAATCCACAGAGGAGGCACTCAGTCCACACAAGGTCCATGTCCATTGACTTCTTGCCTTCCTCTTGGCTCAGGCTGATCTCTTTCTTTTAAATTATTTTTTATTTTTTAATTAGAGCTTACATTAAGTATCATTCTGTATTAGTTTCAGATGTACAGCATAGCTATTAGACAATCATGTACTTAGAGTGGTCTCTTCAATATTTCTTTCTTTTAATTTTTTATTGTTATTATATTACAGTTGTCCCAATTTCCCCCTTTGCCCTTCTCCGCCCTGCTGACCCCCTGCTTCCACAGTCATTCCCCACTGTGTTTTCAGTATGAATGTGAAAATAAATCGATGCATTAAGATAAATCTATACATGCAGAGACCTGGGAAGAAGCACACTTGATCTCTGACAGTGTTTACATGTGCAAAGAAGAGTGATAATATTTTGTAGCCCTGTCTGGTGTGGCTTGGTTGGGAGTCATCCCTCAAAGTGAAGGATCTTCAGTTCAATTCCTGGTCAGGACACATGCCTGGATTGCAGGTTCAGTGCTTGGTCAAGGTGTAAGGCAACTGATTGATGTTTCTCTCTCACATCGATGTTTCCCTCCCATTCTCCCTCCCTTCCCTTCTCTTAAAATCAATCAATCAACCAATCAATCAATCACAAAAGAATAGTTCTTCAAGGAAAATGTTTTTATGTAATCAAAATTTTTTAAAAAATAAATGAATTATGCAATAAGAAAATATCATACTCCTTTGGTCAAAGCAATTGTACTTGGATACTCAGACTACTTTCTGTGAAAATAAACTTGAAGTAGTTTCACTGAAATAACTATGTATACATAGCATATATTTTGGATTTCTAATGGTTCTTAGCAGAAAAAAAAATGTACAATTAGAAATTTAAGACTCCCCTGACAAATTTCTGGAGAGTCAGTTTTTTTTAAGTGACATATCTTGATTTTACTGATGCTTTCACTAACTTTCTGGTCTATTAACTACAAAGAACTACAAAATGCAGGTGATAACAGCAGCAAAAGAGCTGGTATATTTACTGATCTAGGTCACTCAGAGCTTTAAGGTATGGTTTACTCATCTATGAGAAATATGCCTCTGTCAAAGAAATTCTTACTTAAACTTGTTATATTACTATGTCTTAAGTAAACTTGTTATATTACTGTGTCTTACTTAAACTTGTTATATTACTGTGTCTTAAGTAAGTATATTACTGTGTCTTACTTAAACTTGTTATATTACTGTGTCTTAAGTGCATACACACATGCACATATACATAGTAACACATATTAAGAACCTGAAAATGCATATCTGAAACATCTGGAAACATAAGATTCTATTCTATGCTTATCAATGTTCTAGCATATTAGATTTAGAAGGAAGTCATGGAAATTATGTCAGTCTTCTCCTCATGTCATAAAGAAATGAGACCTAAGGGAGTTTGGAAGTTTATTCAAGGCCATGTTAATTATTAGGGCATGGGTTGGACTAGATCTCAGGTCTCCCAATTTATATCCCAGAACTCTTTCCATTATATCCATTTTTCTTAATGATAAAGTACGTCATATGCTTCCTTTAATGAGAGCATTCCACTTTTAAAAGGATGAAAATAGGTCATGTTAGATATTAACCTAAGATTCATCTTAGGGGAAGCTTGCACCTAAAGTAGGTTCTCTAATACAATTGTATGAAAGTTTTCTGCAGTAGACTGATTTTGGAAGAGTATGAAAATTATATTTGGGAGTATTCTTTTTCTGTAATGCTTTGTACATGTGTTGGCTGCCCTAAAAGACACTATATTTGTATAGTGAGTGAATGATTTTAAAAAATGTTATCAGTACTACTTAATCAATTTGATTCACCTAACTTTTATCTATAATTTGACCTTTAGGCATTTTTATTGAAGTGATTGATTCTCTTTACCCACTTTCACTCAACAATATCCGTTTTTTTTCAACAAGTAGTATGTGCCTGGCCATTGTGTACTACTAGTGTAACAAATAGACATAAAATCTCTTCTTTATAGAGAGCTAGTCATCTTTCAAACTTCCTCTAAAACATCAAAATCTGTAATGCCAGGGGGACATAGCTTTTCCTGCTTACTCATGTCCTTCATAAAACTTTGTACATCCTTCTATTATAGTAATTATTATATTAAACATATTTGGACACTTGTAGCTCTTTTCTCAATTTAAAATGTGAAGCTTTCTAAGAAGGCTCAAATTGTTTATTTCATTCTGTCCCGGAGCCTAGTACTGTGCTTTGGCAGAGCATAATATGGTTTCTGACTTATATGGGGGTTATGGGGGTAAGTAATTGAATTGATTTCAAAGAACTGGCTAAGAAGGTGGGCATTGACCTGGAAGCAGTTAAGAAAAAGCCAGAAAGAAAGTGAAGTGGGAGGGGCATGAAGGGGGAAGAGACAACATAATTAAATTTATGTCTGCCTGATGAACTCAATTACCTTTGACTTAGGTAGCTCCATTTTTCTTCATTCCCAGTTCAATCCCTCAGAATTGAAGTTCACTTCTAGTATCGCAAGACTTGACCTCTGGGGGAGTGAGTTGAGAAAAAATGATGATATGCAACTTCTATGAGTGTATTTTGTATGCCCCATATTGTATGTAAAAGGAATATAGAGAATTACGTGCAGCAGTAGGTTCTGGAGCTAGATTGCCTAGACTCTCCCACGAAGGTTTTCTGTGCGACTAAGAAAAGTTTACTCAAAGTTTACTCAGCCACTCTCTTTCAAAGCTTTCTTATCTGTAAAGTGAATATAATAATAATATCATCTGAAGATAGTATACATTCAGTAAATAATATCTCTTATTATGTGATATGATGATGATGATGTTAATGTCCTGTTTTATTAGTTCCATTGTCTGTCATTTTTTTCCATCTGCACCTATTGATTGATATTTCTCTTGGTTATTGGTAAAATTTCTCTACGTTTTCACTTAAGACAATTTTTAGAGTGATTTCAGGTTTACTACAAAATTGAGAGGGAGCTATAGAGATTTTCCAGACACCTCCAGCCCCACGCATGTACAGCCTCCTGCATTGTCAATGTCACCTACAAAAATGGTACATTGTTTTGCCAAGGGTAATCCTATACATGCCATCACGCCAATTCGATAGTTTACCTTAGAGTTCACTTTTGCTGATATATATTCTCTGAATTTAAATACTTATATATGATATACATATATCAATCATTATTACAGAGTATTTTCACTGCCCTAGAATTTTTCTGTGCTCTACCTTCTGCGAGTTTTGGTAGATTTTGTCTTTTAATGATTTGTTCAGTTTCATTTAGTTTATCACATTTGTGGGCATAGAGTTGTTTCTCTTTATTACCCTTTTAGTTTCCATGGGATCTGTAGTGATATCCCCTCTTTCATTTCTTATATTAGTAATTTGTGTCCCCTCTCTTTTTCTTTTAGTTAGCTTGCTAGAGACTTATCAGATTTTTCTTTTTATTGAATTTATTGAGGTGACACTGGTTAAAAAAATATACAGGTTTCAGGTGCACAGTTCTACAACACACCATCTATACTCT